TCGGTATCAAACCGGCATCGTATCGAACTCGCACTGTGCGCTAGCCACCGCGGCAAGCGCTACGAGCTAGCACCGACCACCGGCGATGCAAAGAATGTGTTTCACAAAAAATGAAGGCTGCTGGGATGTATAACAGTCTTCTGCGCCTTGCGACCGCAGCTGTCAATGACTAACTACAAGGCGAGCGCCGAACGAGGCGGAGTACGATCGTCAGCGATTGCACCGTAAAACTTCGAAGCGGTTCGAAGTAGGCTTCGCTCGACTACGGCAGGCTGGCCGGCAACCGGTCTGAGAGTTGCGCCGGCGACGCGCTCGCCCCGTCTCCTCCGATAGTGGCTTCTCGGAGTGTCACCGGTATTTCACCGGCTGCAACATCTAAGCGGTAGGAAGGCATCGCTATGGCGTCGGTATCAAGCCGGCATCGTATCGAGCTCGCACTGCGCACCGGCCGCCGTGGCGAGCTCTGCGAGCTATACATGCAATGCATGCGAGCAACGGGAACAGCGACTGCGAACCGTCTCATTCGTTTAAGTCTATCGCTCCGTAGCTTAAACTGCGTGGATAGCGGACACCTATTTCTGTGCATGGGAAAAACGAGACGTAAACTGCACATCAGCAAGCATTTTGTGATCGCCAGCTGTCATTCATCGAATCACCGTGCCGTACTCGTGAGTGAGGCCTAGTCGTCGAACGCGGTAGCGGCGGTCTACCTCGGTTCATCGCTGGAGCTGCTGAATGTGCCTCGTTAATGTGTTCATTCAAGGCCGCGCGCACTTTGTGTATGATTCAGTGCATTTTACGGGTCCACAAATAGCACTGCTGATGCGAATTCAGCCTGTACGACAGAGCGTCAACTGATAAAACTTTTTCGTTATAGTAAAAAAATATTAATTATTAGGCAGAATTAGGATAAAAGGCACGTGTGTTGAAGTGCTTACATCAGACCACCGCAAGTTCATACTTACGCCGTGCGTATTTATTGCTTAATTATTAGAAACAAAAAGGCTTTAACCTGGGCTACAGGAGGTCAGAATGTGGTGCCTATATATACTCGGTGACTATATGGCAGGTGTGTACTGCGTGTGGCAAGCTGTGGTGAGTGCGAGTGTTGTGATATTACGTGAACGTTGTGATAATGTTTGTGTACTGTAATCATTGTTGCGCGTATTAAATGTAATGTAATTAAAGTTACGCTTGCGCATGGTACGGCTGCTGACGTAATTTTTTTTCTCGGTCGATGCAAAAAGTTTACTCCCATACTGACCTGAAAAAGTTCCCCTATGGATGTAAATAAAAACCCCCCTGACACCATGCGAAAACCCCCTTCTGATGGGGAGTAAATTTTTTACTCCCAGAGACGGGTTTTTTTAAAACTCCCATCTGGGTGTGCGCTAGAGGACAAGGTCATTTACTCTCATTTCGGCTTATTTCTGTTTACAGTGTAGGCACATCAACGTTGGTACGTCGGTCGCCCACATCATAATGTCGTGGAGACGAGCAGTATCATTCGCTTTTTTCGAGGCTGACGAAGCTGCTTCGAGGAATCGACGTCCTCAACCAAATTTCTACGTCAACCCGAGCCTTTCGAAACACGAGAAACACCAGCTCAAGATCCTGCTTGTGCAAATCCAGGACTGCTTTTCGACATCACCAAGAAATTAGCAAATCCCAGTAGCGAAGCATCGCATCATAACAGAGAAGAGTGGGTAACCACATTGACAGAGCCAGTATCGAGTTTCGAGGCGCGAAAGGGGGCTGATGAAAAAATAAGTCGACGAAAAGCTACGCGATGACATCATTCAGGTGTGGAAGTGTCCGCGGGTGTCACCTGTGGTGTTAGTGAACGAAAAAGACGGGACCCTACGTTTTTGCATCGATTGTCGCCACCTCAACAAAATCGAAAAGGAGGACGTGTACCCTCTTCCACGTATAGAAGACGCCCTGCACCGACTCCACAACGCAAAATTATATTCCTCGATGGGCCTCAAAACGGGCCATTGGCAAATCGAGGTTCACGAAAGAGATTGAGAGAAGACGGCCTTCACCAGACGGCCTCTTTGAGTTTAAGGTGATGCCCTTTGGTCTTCGCCCGGTACCTGCCAAGTTCCAGTGCGTTATGGACACCGTGCTGGCTGGATTGAAATGGCAGACTTGACTAGTGTACTTGGATGACGTCGTCGTGTTTCCCTGTAGCTTCAATGAGCATCTCTAGTGCCTTGAAGATGTACTTCGAGCAATCAGCACCTCTGGACTAACCATAAAAGCAGCAAATTGCCCCTTCACTAATGAGGAGCTCTTGTTCCTGGCACAAGTTAATAGCATGTCTAGGTTGAATCCCAACCCGCGAAAAATAGCCTTCATTGCTGATTTGGCGCCGCCCACCGACAAGACGGCAGTACGCCTATTCCTAGAACATTGCGCCTAGTACTGATGTTTTGTTAAGGGATTCTCAGTGATTGCCGAGCCACTAAGTCACCTCACGAAAACTAACATCGAATGCAGGTGGAAAGCGGCACCAAAGTTCAAGTTTCAGGAATATAAACGACGCCTGCAAACACCGCCGATACTAGGGCGTTTCGAAAAATACGCCGATACAGTAGCACACACAGACGCAAGCAATGTGACACTGGGCGCGGACCTTGTGCAAAAAAACGATGACTCAGAAAGGGCTATCATTTATGCTAGCCGGTCACCATCCAAGTCTGAGACCAATCATTCCACAACAAAAAAAGGAATGCCATGCCACCATCTCGACAGGTTCACCCTCTGCTCTTACTTCTACTCGAGGTCTTTCAAATTTGTGAGTGACCACCATGCCCTGTGTTGACTAGCTAACTTTAAGAGCTCTTCAGGTCGTCTCGCATGGTGGGGCCTAAGACTTCGATAATTCAACACTACCGTCATGTAGCACTCCGGCAGGAAAGATTCTGATGCCGGCTGCCTGTCTCGCACCCAGTCAATCCACCATTGCAGGACGGCCAGGATGACGAGGGCCTCTTAGGAAGCATAAATGCCGATGACTTCATCGAGTGACAGTGAGCTGACTCGGAACTGAAGGGCCTAGTCGTGTCCTCAGTAGGCCCCTCAGTAGTACACAACTCGAGGACCGGACCACCGTCATCTCACAATTATTCAAGCGAAGGCTCGGTCATTTTTATTGAAGAACAACGTCCTCGTAAAGAACTTCTCTCCGGCCCGAGCCAGCTGTACCTTCAACAATGCGAACAGAAATTTTTCAGGCTCTACCACCATATGATTATGAGAGACGCCGTAGTGGAGGGCTCCGGAAATTTCGACCACCTGGGGTTCTTTAACCTGCACCCAAATTTGAGCACACGGGCCTACAACATTTCCGCCTCCCTCGGAAATGCAGCCGCCACAGCCGGGATTCGAAACCGCGACATGCGGTTCAGCAGCAGAGTACCTTAGCCACTAGACCACCGCGGCGGGGCTTAACCCCTTCTCGAGTGCAAAAAGATTTGTGCGCGAAAAACCATGCAAACAAATATGTTGGTCAACATAAGGATGAGATTACTCGTTTTATCTTGGTAGCCGAGCTTATCGACGCACTTGGTAATTGGGTCTTCAGTAAGCCTTCAATAGTATTGTCAACCAATGAGCTGAGTTTCCCGCGTAAGTGTCAACCAATGAGCTGGGTTTCCCGCGTAAGCGGTAATACATGGCATTGTCTGTTAATGTTAGTGATTCCGAAATGATGCAGTCAAAGCAAGGTTCGATAATAAGGAAGAAAATATTACTTTACTTAAGTTTTAGGTGAATCGACAGTCGATACATATAGAAAAAAACGGAGTTCGGTGCTGGAGCTCGTTTTTGTTTTTTTTAATGTTCGTCAAACAAACGCCGCATGGCAACAGCGCCAAGCTGGCACACTCAGGGCTCGTGGGTCATTTTTTGTGCGGGCACCGATACGCTGCCGGTGAATGCGGCTGCGTGAGCTCGAGTGCCGATGACAGTTATGATGTCATTAATTTAAAATGGCACTTACGTGCAAATATTCGAGTGATCCCTCATGGTCATTTGTCTGCCTGGCGATTATGTTTCAAAAGTGGTCTGAGTTTGGAGCTAAACATGTTTTTCGCTAGCAGCACTGTGACTGCGTGCCTATGTGCCTTCTCGTGTTCGTGTTTCGCTTCGTGCTACATAAGCTAATTGGAACTCGCGTCCATTTTCGATATGTATGGTTAAAAACGTTGTTTAACTATATGTGATGTGCGGAATGGTTTCGCTGGTCATCCACGTTCACACAGAAGAATGGCTCTAGAAAATTTGTGAATACCTACTCATTGATGAGCACGTTTGTGTTTTGTCACTGTTAGTATTAGCTTGTTCGTACACTCTTATATGAGGCCCTATATAAGGCACCAGTACGCAAAGAACTTTCAAATAGTTTAACAAAAGTGAAATTAAGCTCACAATTTTCACCTAGTAGATATTTCTTTAAAATGGGCAAGTGAATATGCTACAAGAATGTTCCTCTAAGCAGTACAAGACTCATATTCAGGACCAAAATTGATAATTGTGGGTGAAATATTTGTGGAATGCCCAGTGCAAGAATATGAAGCTCTATGTATTGTACGGTGTCAGGGGACACTCTACAAAGTTCTTATTCAAATTCTGTAGCCATCAAGAAACCTGTAAACAAACTACAAAACGAAAACTTTTGCTGTATTCGTGTGCAAGTGATGAATAGTTTTGAACATTAGAAAGCATACTAATAAGAAAAGTTGTAGCGAGAATATAATGTGTTTTCACAGTTTAATCTATTTCAATGATTAGGATAGCGCCAAAATGATGACCTACACCAGGGTGCATGATGCATACAGGTAAATAATTGATAGTTGTTGAGGACGTTCTCTTGTCTGTGTATGCGCCATTTCTACTTTTCCACACTGAACACAGTGAACCATAACACTTTACACACTGCGTGCCATCTGCAGCAAAAAAAAATTGCATTTCAGTTTTCAGCACGAACAACTTACTGGAAATAGTGGCCTTCATCTTCTCGGCGAGAATATGCCCGTCCTGCGCCCTGCCTTTTTCCGTAAGGACGATGGCAGCCGCAGGTGCCTCGCCGAAATCGGGGTGTGGAACGCCAACCACGGAAACTTCCTCAATTTCGTCTGCGTGGTGGTGGAGTAGCAGCTCTTCCAACTCTGTCGGGACGACTTGGTTGTCCATGCACTTGATCATCTGCTTTAGCCGCTCCACAATGTACAACCGACCACTCTCGTCGTAGTAGCCTGCGTCACCTGCATGAAAATAAGTGTCGAAATACTCAGTAGTACTTGCTCAGATAATGGGGCATCCTGATTGGGTAGCGTACGCGACGAATTTATGATAAAGTTAAGATCAATCCTTAAGCGGTGATTTATTCTACTATACACGTGTACAACAAGGATGCACTCATTCGTAGCAAAACCGACCTATTTACTTTGGGGCTCTGACATTGCAGGGCTATGCTCGATTGCACAGCTCTGGTGCTGGTCCATGATGGTACTTCATCAGGGTAAATATTAACGTGTGTTGACTCGTCTGACTGCAGCACACTGCAACGAAATGCTGGTGGTCTGACTTTTCTGTCGTCTGCCACTTCTGCTGGTCTCTCTTCTCTGTCGTTTGCCCCTGCATTGTTTTTTAAAATTGAATGACATGTAGTCGACGTTCACACTTACCTTCTATGCCAATGTTTACTAAAAGCGGAACGCCGGTGATTTTTTTACATTCACTGCTTTGATAAAACTTCGAGAATGTGTTGTGAATCGCATACTGATCAAGTATACCAGTTTACATCACCTTAAAGTATTGAGTTTTTTTAGAAACAGAATATTAGAGTTCGTATCCGTCCCGCAATCGCGTTTGTCAACGTGGGCCACTCTGTCTATATGAGCCAGCTGCTTCACGAGCCGGCGGATCAAAATGAGAAGGCAATGCTTCCGCATTCACATAGTAGCTGCCGTCATCACTCGTCACTGGTAAGTTCAGACGGTCTGCCACCGCTTGACTACGCGTCAGATGAAACCGGCAGCTCAATTTTCGCATGATTGAAGCAAAACGTATGCCATTTTCACACCTTTGCCTGCCAAGGTGGCATCTAGCCGTGGTTCCGTGACCTCATCGCATCCTCACTCAGAGCAGCTCCTTGTTTTGGTTTTGGTTTCGACTCATTGTTTATTGCTTATTTTGAATTTTTGACAAGTGTCTCGGCAAAATGAATCACCCTAGCTGGTACTGGGCTGTCAACAGTATTTGAAGCAGCGTCGTCGCAGGACAGTCGAAAGTGCTCTGGATATCCCCTTCAAGCTTGGATGTAGGTTTATAGGACTTGATTTCTCAAAACTATAGGATGCAGTTGTCATTTTGTATGGTTCCTCTGATAATAGCATGCTGAACTTGATCAGAAAACCAATCAGACTGACGTAACACAACATATATTTATACTGGCTTAAAAAAAGAGGAAAGAAGGGCGAAAGCTTTGGATGAAAAATTCGTAGCGCGAGGATAAGTGGTGAAGCCGGCCGTTGCGTCAAGTGGAGTAGTCTTTTAAAGGGCTGCAACAGGTCGCAGTCTTGTCTTTTCAAGGTTACAGCTTTCAAGAAGATGACTTTACTTGTTAGAATGTGAGCTCTAGTACGTACACCCTGTAACAAATGTTTTCATGATACATGGTGTTTCATGTAATAGCAACTAATGGTTTTGATAAATCAAGAGCCCTTGCCCTATCCCGAAAATTAGGGTAAGCGAAGCTGCCGTGTGCGTTGTTCACATAGTTTTCTGCATTTCTTACAATGGCATTTTGAAAAGTTCTTTGCTGTTTGATTCCAGTGTGCAAGGAATTGAACTGCAACCCACATGATTTGCTGCTAAGCACTTCAGTCTATACAACCTACAATATTTAGGGGGTCCTATTGAGGCAAAACTAAAATATGCTCCACGCGAATTCACTAGTCACCTCGATAAAGATGGCACTACTGAAAAGCAACATGACTCTTTTTTATTTCCTTACCTTCCGCGCTATCAACTCTTGGAACACATTACAATCTTCACTTCAAAATGGGCTAAGCGCAGCTCATTGAAACCAGAGACACGTCCTTTGATACTATGTGTTGATTGTTAATGTGGTTTTATTTTGCACTTAATTAGCTAGCTACGTTTTCCTTGTGGAAAATTTTAAGTATGCTTGTTAAGGCAACTGCATTTCATTAGATTGCAGAAGGTGATCTAAAATAACCTTACAATATTTTCTTCTACATATGTGCAGCTGGGCAATTTTGCTATGGTGTTAAAGACAAGCCCTGAAATGTGAGATCACAGCACTAAAGTGCAGTAATGCACAACCGTGTTGCTGCATTTCCCAAACAATGCTTCGCGAAACAAGCAGGCTTATGGACAGCGAGCCAATTGCTTATGAGGTGTTACTGGAGCGTCCCTATTGTGTGACACCTTCAACAAAGCGTATGCACTTTGAAGCAGATGCCACAACTTTTATTGCAGTTTTTGTTTTGTGAAACAAGTGTAAATATTTACAGCCGTGTTTTTGTAGATGGCTGAGTGCACAGAATGAACCACTTGTTGAAGTATAACACAGGACTATATGATGTGTAGCATTCAATTGTCTGTAGGCTTGTCATGCAGAAAACAGAGTGTTGAACGTGTAGAGGCTGAAAATTGTGGAACAGTGCAATAACAACATGTGTAATGTTTGGAACATCCTGTAGCAATTTTTTATTATTCTGTAAAATTCATGAAAAGCGAACAGAATTCATACCGTTGTATTCACTTTTCTGTACCGTGCTATCTCAAGCTAAAAAATGCTGCTGCTGTTGGTAACCGATTACGTACCTGACTTACACCAGCCTTCTTCGTCAAAAAGCTGGGCAGTTTCCTTCGGTCGCTTGTAATAACCCCTCACCATGGACAGTGAACGGAAGCAAATCTCTCCTGTCTCATGCGGGCCAAGTTTTCTTCGAGTGTACACGTCCACAACCTGTGAGTGGAAAAAGCGACTGAACCGATTGTTCAGGTAGTGCGAAAGGAAAATGTTTGAAGTTTATGCAAACGCTACTAGATGGAATAAAATATTTTGTATAAATTTTACGAGAGCTCCGTGATGAGGAACTTGTCTTTTTTACTTTATTATAAGTGGAAGATTCCAAAGCGTACGCTAGTGCCAGGCAAGATCAAGGAATTGGTCTGTGTTGTGACATTGTGCATCGTTCAGTACCACTTGAAGAAAAATTTCGCATACCGCATGAATTAAGGGGAACTGTAACGTACAAAGCCAAATAACTTTTTTTCTGTCAGTTGCCCTCAATTAAAACACATTTTCTTGGCTTTGTGAAGATAATATCGACTCCATGAATCTAATATAGTGTATCAAACTTTCGCCGTGAAAATTGTCTATATAAAAATTGCTTAATAGCAAAACGTTGTGCGACAAGCTAGGTTACTTCTAAGTAGTTGATATATCTTACTCTGTCCGCAATTTTTTTCTGCCCGGTTACGCGTTCAAAATAATAAATGCCTGTGCAAGTTACACGACTAGTAGCCGAACACAGTGAACTACCGAATAAGCCTGATGCCAGCATCCTCCCTGCCAGGCATGAGGCCGATCGCACGTAGCTGTCGGCTATGGCTTAAGCGTTCATCTGTGCAAGGCCACAAGAGGTGCGTGCCAGATACATCACGCATTGGCCAGTCGTAAAATGAGCACCATGTATTAGGGGCCGCAGTAGTTTTGCGCCACATCGTGGTTACGAATAGGGTGAGCGGAATACTAACGCGAAACCTCCGCAATATAGCCTACACTAGGAATAAGTACGCCAGGCATCGCTGGCAGTTTAATCTACAGCTCCAGGGATACCTGGCCCACCAGGAAGTGTGAAGGTTGTGTTGTACATTAAGGGCTTTGTTTTCACAGGAGAATCTATCCTAGTGTGTCTTCAAGAAAATGTGAAATGGGTTCAGCGGAACTTTCGGAAGGATTGCCAAGTAAGCTTTGGCAAGTCCGGCGAAGTGACCAGAGGCACTCACTGAACACGAATTCACACAGATGCGGCGGCAGCACGATCGAGAACATCATCCGGGAGTGACGTAGACAGATACACATATCGCATATTGTGTATACCTTGAGGTAAAAATGTGTGCACAAGCCTTCCTTCTACGCACGGGGCATAGGACTTCTACTCTGGCTTCGCGTCCCGGGCACTGAGGCTTGACAAATCGTGGACGCGAAGATTGGATTTGGTGCGAGGACGTCAGGCAGCAGCGCTGCTCTCCCATTGGATTGATTCAAGGGAAGCGATCTGCACGACGTGCGCAGGACACTAAGGTTATTCAGAAAGTGCGAAGTTTACTTCACTCTGCTAGCTTCGAAATGGTGAAGCTCACAGCCGTAAAGCAGCAAGTCTTCGCTTGCAATGACGAGCTTTCGCAGATAAACGAGCAGTATAAGGAGTATATCTCGACCGAAGGTATTGATGAGGAGTACACAGCTATCGTGGAATATCAAGATGAAGTAGTCAGAATGTTCGCCTAGTTTGGTAGCATATTATCACAACTGGAACAAGCTCAGTGTGGCCATACGCGAACTCCAGTGGTGAAAGTACAACAGCAATGACTGTCATTTGCGAAGCTCCAGCAAGATTTGTGGCCCTCCTGTTTTCAGAGGCCTAGAATGGGAACAGTTAGGCATAAGAGTTAATGGAGAGTGCCCTAGTAACCTGCGCTTCGCCGATGACATTGCATTGCTGAGTTCCTTAAGGGACTGATTGCAACATATATTTATGGAGTTGGACAAGGAGAGTAGAAAGGTAGGTCCTAAAATAAATCTACAGAAAACAAAAGTAATGTGAAACGACCTCAAAAGAGAGCAGCCGTTCGAGATAGGTAATAGTCCAATTGAAGTTGTAAAAGACCTTGCCAACTTAGGAAAGGTAATAACCGTGGAGCCGAACCACGAGATTGAAGTAATATAAGAATAAGAATATGGTGTATTATATTTGGAAATCACTCTCAAATATGACAGGTAGATTGCCCCGATCCCTCAAGAGAAAGATATATGGCAGATGCATCTTGCCAGTACTTAGCTACGAAGCACAAACCTTGAGACTTAGAGGGTTCAGCTTAAATTGAGAATGGCGAAGCGAGCACTGAAAATGAAAATGGTATGTGTAACCTTAAGAGGCAAGAAGAAAGCAGAGCCCCACCGTGGTGGTCTAGTGGCTAAGGCTCTCAGGCTGCTGACCCGGAGATCGAGGGATCAAATTCAGGCAGCGGCGGCTGCATTTCCGATGGAGGCGGAAATGTTGTAGGCTATGGTGCTCGGATTTTGGTCCATGTTAAAGAACCCAGGTGCTTTCAATTTCCGGAGTCCTCTACGTGCGGTGTCTCTAGTAATCATATTGGGGTTTTGGGACGTTAAAGCCCACTAATCAATCAAGACGAGAGCAGGGTGAATTAGATAACAAACTTTGGTTAAGGATATCATAGTTCAAATCAAGAAGAGAAAATGAACATGGGCCGGGAATTTAGCGCGTAGACAGGATTACCGCTGGTCATTAGGGGTAACTAACTAGATTTTTTGAGAAGGCAAGTGGGTAAGGGGGAGAGAGAAGGTTAGGTGGGCCAATGATATTAAGAAGTTTGCGAGTATGAATTCGCAGCAGTGAGCACAGGACCGAGTTGACTGGCGGAAAATGGGAGAGGCCTTTGTCCTGCAATGAACGTTGTCAGGCTTATGATGATGATGATGATGATGATAATAATGATGCGGATTTTAACGTACAAATGTGACATAGCTGAGTGGAGAGGCTTTCGACAGCAATTTAAAAAGCTCATTCACCTCAATAATGACCTTACGCCCTGTGCAAAGTTCTACTACCTCAAACGTTTTTTAACCGGTGACAAAGCAGTAGTGTAGCGAGTCTTTCTCAACGACTGAATTTCGCTACCCTGGCACCAGTGCCGTCACATGGTCCTTGCATCATTTGACGGTACTAAATATCTCTGAATGGCGACATCGCCTAACGACATTCGTCGGTTACAAAAACTGTATATTGTGACGCAGCTCAAGTTCGATGCCTTAGAGTCCTGAACGTGCCGACACTCACGTATTCGGCTATTGTTGTCAACAACTTGCTACAGGCTCTCCACGGGACATCTGTCTTTGTTTCACACTTGAAAAACAGTTCCGCTCTTTGGCACTGGCCTTCCGACGTACATTGCTACTCAGGGCTCAATGTCGAGTACACCAGCACAGGCGTCAGCGGCGTCGAATGCAGAGCTGAATGATCTGCTACCATTCATACAAGTGGAACTCGAAAGCCGATAGCAGTTTGCACTACTACAACAGATGGCTGCTTTCAAAAATCACTCGAACCGAAGAAATAGTGACATCCCAGAAGCATCAGCTTTTCAAGCCACGTCTATACCAAAGCTCAAGTGCTTTTACTACGATATTGATTAGTACGGAAGGCACAGCTGCAACGCTGAAATTCCTCTTGAGGCCTTAAAAGAGCAGCTGCATAAAGAAAACCGGTGCTTCCGCTGCACGCCAAATAGCCACCGAGCGAAGCATTGCCGTGTCAAGGTTGCCTGCAGATCTTGCCGTGGAAGACACGCTTCTAGCATGTCGACCCTAAATACAGAAGGGCTTCGACGACCGTAAAATCTCAGGAAGTGCAATTGTGTGCATTTCTTCAAACAGTATTTGTTGCTGTGAAGGTATATCCTCCACTAGGCAGCCAACTCGAGAGAATTTGGTCTATATTTAGGCATTCTGCACGAAGTTGGTCAACAAGGACCGCAGGCAATGCGTTCAAGTTATTCGAGATGGCGGAAGTCAAAGAAGCTTGAATAAGGAAGATATGGCTCGTGAGCTTAACCTGAATGTTGTCAGACAGACATGGTTAGCATTGAATACCTTTGGAAGCACTTGCTTTTCAGCTGCAAAAAAGCGGAGTGGGGTGTGGTCGCAGCTCCGAAGCCGAGACGAGAAGGTTGACGTTTGCATAGAAGCTACAGTCGTCTGTGCCATCTGCCACGATGTGGCTCTGACATCAGTGAACACCGCATTCATTATAGAATAAAAGAGACAACATGCTCGCGAACGACTGCCAGCATAAAGATGCACCAGCCACCATAGTTGGTCTGCTAATTGGTTCTGATTGTATGTCGCTGATAAAGAAGAAGGAAGAAGGAGGATTTCGGGCTCTGAGCTCAATCTTATCAGTTTCTGACCGGCGAAAACAAACCCACAAGCAATTTTTCCCACCTTAAGACCATATGGGGGCCGCCATCTTGTGTGGGACCAAGCCACTTTGAGGACAACGAGTCATATCTCGGCTTTTACACACCCCAGGACGACAAATCAGGTCTCAATTGAGTCGATAAATCCGGAGATAGCTGTAGAAAAAACCGCGAGCGCCCAATTCAACAGAGGGCGTCAAAAGAGACTTATTCAGAAGACACACTCAGTGTTGCCGGACTGCTGTTACTGCTTGAGCTGGGCTTGGCGAAACAGCTTCCACAGCGAACTAAGCCCACCGGAACTGCTCCTCCACCTCTTAGCCAATAAGCACAGATTATTACAACTGCCCGAGCGGAAGCGGCCGCGTCAGCAGCACGGGTAAGTCAGCTCTGCACATATCTACCTATAACATACCTACCTATAACTTTAGCAATTTCGGTCCTACGAGGGTCAGAGTGGTGTCTATTTGTTCGTGAAGATACAAGGAGTTCAACCGCTACAAATACTGCTATTACAAACGAAAAGTTTGAATTTTAGGAACGGAAAACAGTGTGAATCTGTGAAACCAACAACAGTCGGACCACGTGCCCGGTGCCGCGCAATTCCCAACCGGGGGAAAAAATCGCGTGTTGATGGAACTACAATAAGAGGCCTGAGGTGCGGCCTCACCGGTAACCACCGCCGGGAACGCACTCCCTCACCAGAGAAGGATTGGCCACCCTGGTGCAGTATCTGGC